CTGTGGTATATGATTGTAATGGAATATTATTGTGCTGTAAGAAATAACAAGCAGGATAATTTCATAAAATCCTAAAGAGACTTACATGAACTGATACATAGTAAAGTGAACAGAAGAGAAGGAGAACGTTGTACACAATAACAGCAATATTGTTCAATGAAGAACTGTGAATGGCTTAGCTATTCTCAGCAACACAAACATCCAAGACAATCCCAAAGGACTAGTGATGAAGCATACCTCCCACCGCCAGAGAAAGAACTGATGTTGATTGAATACAGACTGAAGCATGCCATTTTTCAATTTCTTTTTTTTGATGTTTTTCTTTTATTCAAGTCTTCTTATATAAATGTTTTACATAATTGCACATGCATAATTTATATCTGATTGCTTACTGTCCCAGGGAGGGGACAAGAGAGGGAGGGAAGGAGGGATAGAACTTGGAATTAAAAACTTTCTAAATAAAAATGTTAAAAAAATTGTTAAAGAATTTATATTCTATCTTGGAGGCAAATCATAAGCCACTGGAATTGTATCTGAGTGAGGGAATAGGATGGTCAGACTTATGCTTAAGGAAAATTAATTTGGCAATGTAGGATGAACTGAAGTGATGAGAGCTGATGTGATCATCTGGATGAGACTTGATGAAGGCCTGAGCTAAGGTAACAGCTGTATGAGTGGAGTGAAGACGACAGATAAGAAAGATGAAGGTAGAAAAAGGAAGGTGTAGAAACCAATTCAATATGTGTAGTAAAGAGCATGGAATCAAAGAGGTGCTAGAAATTATGAACCTGAAAACTTGAAAGAAGTTTGGAAGAGGGAAAAGACAATGAATTCAGTTTTAGATATAAGATGTCTCTGAAAATCAATCTGAAAGGTCCAACAAGCCATTGGTGATGTCTGATTGAAGCTCAGAGGAGAGACTAGGGTTGGATAAACAAACCTAGGAGTCATCAGCATAGAGATGATCATTAAACCCATGCGATCTGATGAGGTTGTAGAAGGATAAGGGAATAGGGATAGTAAACTAGAGAAGGAAACTCAGAAGGTGGTCATACAAGTAGGAGGCAAACTAAGACAAGAATATCATGAAAACTTAGCCAGGAGAGTTACCAATAGTATCAAATAAAGCAGATAAGTCAAGATGGCTTAAGACTGAAAAAGGGACATCAGATGTAGCTATTGAGAGATCACTGGCAACTTTAGAGAGGGCAGCTTCAGTCAAGTGACATTAAAGTTTCCTTGCTTGTAAAATCAGGGTTTGAACTAGATGCCTTGTAAGGCTATTCCAGCTCTAACCCATGACCTCACTGGAAGGGGCCTCAGATCAGTGTCTCTTCTTTGCTCTATGTAAATAAAGTTATTCTGTTTTGAAGATTTGTAAGCAAGAATGTATACAAGGGATCCTACACAAGGGGTCACTATTAGGGACTGTTAGATACTAATATTCACCCTTTTTCCTTAGATTGAAGTAACAGGCAAAAACAGTGAGAGGTTCTGAAATTGTATCTAGACTTTTGTATCAAGATTGTAAATCTGTATTCATGTAATAAACTGTTGCCATAAGAAAATACGACTTCCAGTTAGAAGCCCAGTAATTCACAGAAGACGACATCAAAGAATAAAGCCAACAATAAAATCCATGCCTTTGCATGACACCTATACAAAAACATTAAGCATCGGTAATTTTAAAGATAACTAATTTCCAATCTTGAGTATCACAGAGTCTTTGGATGAGAGGTAACAATCCAACTGTACTATGGTCGAGTGAGACCATATTTGGATTATCATTGTTTACTGTTAAACATTTCAGAAAAGATATCAACTATACAGAGCTTGTTCCTGAGAACATGACCTCCAAATTCATCACTCTTTCTACTGTGCTTTCCCTTCGATTTTTCTTGATATTATGCCTCTATTAATGCAGCTTAAAACACATTAACTTTTTTTGACTGCCATATCAGCCTTTCATATGATCATAGAGTCATATATCTAGAGCAGCAACAAGGATTCTCAGAAACCATCTAATCTAACCCTCTCATTTTACAGTTGAGGGAACTGAGGAAACAGGTGTTAAGTGACTTGCCTGAGTCACACAGGGATCTTAATTCCTTATGGCACTTATCGTAGAGGTGAGATCTGAACCCAAATCCACTGGACTCCCAAGCCTATATTCTCTGTATTATACCGTGTTGGTTTATATGAAACTTGATTTGGCCTAAGACTTTCAAATTTTTTCATACAAATTGTTTTTCAACCATGCCAATGCTTCCTCTCTCTATATATATACTTATACAGTTGATTTTTCTGGCCCACATGTAATGCCTCACTGACTCTTAGTGATTATTACTTCCCAGTCTAAATGCTCATAAGATATATTTTAACTAATAAATTCTAGAATTTTGTCAGGAATCAAAGTCAAGTTAACCAACCTATAGTTTGAAGATTTTGCCCTTTCGCTTTTTCTTAAAAATAAGACATTTTCTTATCTCTTGATCTTTGGAATTTCCCCAAAAGAGCTTGAGGCCATGATATATAAGAATCATTTGAAGGAACTGGAAAAGAGAGCACTTCAGGGGGACATGATTGTGATATGCAAATATCTGAAGCTATTGGAAGAGATACTAGATGAGGTTTCGTCACAGAATTCAGAATTAAAAACAATGGCTACCAGTTTCTGGAAGACAGATTATAAGCCCAATATGAGGGGAAACTTCCTAACTATGATACCTTCCCCAGAGTGTAATGAGATTTTTGGCAAGTAGTGGTTTCTCTTTCACTAGAAGGTCTTTAGGTGGAGACTCACTTATCAGGGATGTCCTAATAGATTTTGGACTAGATAACTTTTGACATCCCTTAGAACTGTGATACTGAGATACTGTGATATCAAAGAATGGCTGTTAATAAAAACAATAAAATTAAATATTAAAATGCTATATTATAATCATGTAATCATTATATTACCTCTCCATGCTGTAAGCATCTTTCTAAGACTCAAGAAAGTGCAGACCTGCATTGTTAAAGTGAATTGCCTCACCCAGGAGTTTTCTACACCAAATGAACCACAGGTCTAGTTCCTTTCCTTTTAGTCAAAATTAACCTGAAGACCTCCTTGCAGAGTATGTACCAGCTATTGAGAAGAAATGCAATGCATAATGGAACAGCAGGGCAACATAAACCTTAGTTGAAAAGTTCCCTGCCTCAGCCTTCAGTAAGGCAGAATAGCACTAGCTGGATTCTTCTGCATTTCAGACATAAAACCTTTCCATGGTAGGAATAGAAATAAGGCACTAGGAAATGTCTCCTAAGTTACTGATATAATTTTCTTTAATTCTGTTTATCAACAAGCATGTATTATATACTTTGTGCCAGGCACTGTGTTAAGTGCCAGGAATACAAAGACGAAAATAGTCCTTACCCTCAAGAAGCTTACATTTAGTGGGAGAGACAAGTAAATAAATAGATGCATACAGAGTATATAAAAGGTAATCTATTAGGGAAACATGCTAGTGGGGGTCGGGGGTGGGGGCCACTCTGGAAAGGCTTCCTGCAGGAGTTGGCATTTAAGGTGAGTCTCAAGAGAAGGTGAGGATTCTATGAGGCAACAGTGATAGATAGAGCATTTATTAAGCTCTGACTATTTGCCAAACACTGTGCTAAGAATTGGGGAAACAAATACAAGAAAGCACAACAGCCCCTCCCCTCAGAGCTTACATTCTAATGGAAGAAGATCCCCAGAAAGGTGATCTATGACGGAGTAAAGGTTAAGAAAGGAGCTCAAATGGGGCAGTACTACATTGAGCAGGCTTGGAAGTGGAATGGAGAACTGAGCCCCAGCAAGACAGGGCAAAGGGTCAGGGTTTAGGTTACCAGCAAGGAGAAAATAGAAGTGCTAATACAAGTAGAGAAGGCACATCATGGACTTAGTTGGAAAGAAGGAAAGCATTACAAGCATGGGGAACAACCAATACAAAGGCAAAGAGATTGGGCATGAAATTTCATGGGTGAACATCTAGGTCCAATATGGCTGAATCATAGCATATATACAGGTGAGCCAGGTATAAGACTTGCAAGTCAGAAAGTGGTTAGGTATTGAAGAGCTTTTCATGGCAAACAAGAGACTTTATATTTGATCCTGGAGGTAACAGAGTACCCCTGTAGTTCATTGAGTGTATGGTAGGAGAGTGACTTGTGTTTTAGGAAAATCACTTTGGCAGCTGAGTGGACAATGGGTTGGAGTGGGGAGAGACTTGAAAAGGAGGGACCAATTAGAAAGCCATTTCAATATTACAGGTAAGAAGTGCTAAGTGACTGAACAAGGGTAGTGGCTATGTAAGTGAAAAGGAAATATAAATCTGAGAGATGTTGCAAAGGTAGAGACTAGAAGATTTGTCAACTGATTGGATATGTGAGGTGAGTTGGAAGAATCAAAGATGACACCAAGGGTGCAAATGTGGGTGACTATGAAAATGGTGGCAACCTAGAAAATAATGAGGAAGTTTGGAAGAGGAGATAGTTTAGAGGAAAAGATAATGGGCTCTGTTTTGAATATATTTTCAAGACTTGAGATTCTTACAGGACAACTAGTTCGAAATATTCAGTAAGCAGTTGGTGATAGATAATGTGAATGGAGTTCAGGAGAAAGACGGGGGATGATTGTATAGATCTGGGAATCATTTACATAGAGATGATAACTGAACTCATAAGAACTGATGAGATCACAAGTGAGGGGGGGAAGAGAGACAAGGATAGGACCTTAGGGGCATCCACAATAGGTGGATATGGTATGAATGAAGTTTAACAAAGGAGACTGAAACAGGTAGAAAGAAAATTAAAAGAAAGCACTGCCATGAAAATTCATTCTATACCATTAAACTTGTTATTTTTACAAACCATGCAACTTTTCTACATTGCTTTTTAATTATAGAATGGAGTTTTAAATTAATTCTTTGAATGTTACTAACTTAATTTAGTTTTAAAGCAATAATTTTAAAAAAACATACTTGCTCCAATGAACTTTTCCTTCCAATGTCTGCATTTCACCAAGTATTGCAAGGAGCAGAGAAGATTTTCCACAGCCTACCTGACCCACAATCATTGTCAGTTGACCTATAGTAATGAAATAAAATTCAATCACTGCATGAAATAGAAAATTATGTATCAAATGCAATCTGAAAATATTTTAAACAGCTTGCATTTCACTTTATGCATCTTATGCCATTCCAATATTATCAATGTGGGTATTCCATATTGTAACCCATCTACGCCTACGTATCCTGTATCACTGCTATCTATATCTTACTATACGTTAACCACAAAAGGGTCGACCCAATACAATGTACTGGATGTCTTCCTTACTTTCTCTTGACTTTAAGAAAAAACTAATGGAGCTTATCAGCTTTCCACCAATTATAAGCTGCTCTTAATATGCATACTCCCTTTTTAGTTTAATTTTCAATCATCCATTTCCTTTATGACACCCTTTACATCACTTCTCTGCTGTCACTTTTTGATAATGCTCTCCACACGCTTCTCCAATGCCCTTTGGGTGATCCTTAACTTTAATTCTTTAGAGACTGTAGGATTCTATGGCTTGTAGCCATATATCATCTCAGAAAGAAGACTGTTATGAAAAAGATGGGCCTTTTTTCAGGAAGAAGCTTGAATTCATTAAAAGAACTTTGCAATTTTCCAGAAGCAATCCAGCCCATTCTTCTCCTGTTTTTCTGGGCTCAACTCATTGTCCATTTGACATATCTACATATCAGTATATACTTATTGATGAGCTATAGAGATTTTCCATCCAACTGCATATCGTAACTTACTGTGGATATTCATCAAATGAGATCATAAACGTAAAGTACTTTGCAAAATTTAAAGCATTATCTATCTGCTGTTGTCATTATTATTACAGTAACTGGATTTGAACTCTAACTCTGCTACTACTACCAATGTGACTTTGGAGAAGTTATTTCACCTTTCTTAGTCTCAGTTTTTTCATTTGTAAAATAAAGGCCTTGGACTAGATGATTGAAAATTCCCTTCCAGTCAACAGTCAGTTAAGAGGGAGCCAAAAAGTATTTAGTAAGTGCTTACTAAGTGTTAAGTAGTAGAAATACAAAGAAAGGCAAGTCAATATCTGACCTCACGGTGCTTGAAAAATTAAAGCTCTCTAAGTCAAGTCATACCCATTGTGAAATACAGTAAAGAACATTGCATTCAACCTCCAGAAGATCAAAATTTAAATCCCGTCATAGCTACCCTAGGGAGTTCTCTTGACCTCTCCTCATGTGCAAAATAAAAGCTTTGGACTAGATTCCTAACGTCCATTCTAGCTCAAAATACTATGATAGTGATAAAAATATGTCTTGAATGAAATACTTAGATTACTGTGGCAAAAGCATCGTTGGTCCTTTTGCTTGCATTTTCAAGATAAATGCCACTATCATTTATTTACCTTATATAAGTAGATATAGTCTTAGCTCCCAAATTTTAAGTCAGCTCAAAAATATTTTAAATATCTTGAAATATCACATTTAAATAGTTCATTAGTTTTTACCTGAATTAATCTGAGTATTGACTCCATTTTCTACTTCACTTTGTGTCATATAATTTACCCATTAGACAAAAACTGAGTAGGAGATAATTTCAAACAAAAATGAAAACAATAGACATCACTTATTAAAATAGGGAATCAAGGAACAAAGTAAATATTTTCCAAAGTCACACTCTAATGTCAAATTTCATAATTTCCACTGTAGTGTTCTATTCACTATTATACCATGATGCCATATCGGTCCACGATTCATAGTATATAAATAATTACATTTTACATCAGCACCATTTTTACTTCATCAAGCTGTAATTCTTTGTGTTTGGTGATAAATACACAATTTATTTGTTGAACATCACACAACACAATCCCTGAGTGACTCTTACCTGTTGGGATTCGAATATCTATGTTGGATAATGTGGCTAAACCACTCCCCCATGAAAAATACCCATTTGTCACCTAGAAAATAAGGTCATGGAAAAAATTATCAGGATAAGACAGAAAGACAAATATTTTCATGTAGGATGGGTCAAACTAAAATCAATTTTGCTTTAAAATGATTAAAGAAACATTTAAATGCAAATATAAAAAGTGATAAAAAGCATTACTCATCCCACTTTTTGTGGATATATTTTTAAAAGGCAAGATAGTAAGGAAAAAGGCCCCCAAATTAGTGATATTCTAACAATTAATCAGGCAACAGTTTATAGAATAGCTTGAAAGAGGGGGCAGCTAGGTGGCGCAGTGGATAGAGCACCAGCCCTGAAGTCAGGAGAACATGAGTTCAAATCTGGCCTCAGACCAAATGCTTGACACTAGCTGTGTGACCCTGGGCAAGTCACTTAACCCCAATTGCCAAAAAAAAAAAAGAATAGCTTGAAAGAGTGAAAGAAACCGGGAGGGAAAGGATGTTAAACTACGGAGTTCATTCTACAGCCAATGTCAGTACTTGTCTCAAACTATTCCAAATTGACAGAATGTTTCAGACCTATTGTATGGGAAAGTCTTCCTGCTACTTCTTTTTCAAATACAGTTCTTTTCTGTTTCTAAGTGAAAACAGCTCCGTTTCTCTTTAATTTTCATATAATATCCCTTTAAATATCCATAGAGTGCCTTGTGCAATAAAACACAAGACATAGTTCCTAAAACTTCAATTCAAGCCAAACAATGAAACATCCTTAATCCTTTCACATAGTGTGTACTTTTGAGAGGAAAAAAAAATATTTAAGTATTTTTTTTCTGGCATTCAGTTACTTTGAGATGTTTCATGATTTTTGAATGACCAAAATGGTGTCTGATTTAACTTTAAAATTTTAAGATTATTAACATTACTTTGAAATCACAGGACCTTAGAGACCATTTAGTCCAATCCTACCATTTTGCAGGTGAAGAAACTAAGGCCCAGGTAAGTTAAGCAATTTGCCTAGGGCTAGATAGTGTCAGAAGCAGGAGCTGAACCAAGGTCCTCTGACTACAGAGAAAGTACCCTTGAAATGATGCAAATGTTATTGGCAATTGTAGGGACCAACCATCTTAAATAAAACAACTATGCTTGTACATGAGCAGAACCAGAATCCCAGAAAAGTTTCTGGTGATATTGAAGATTATTTTTAAAAAACCCACTTCTGATCAAGGAAAACAATAATATTATTTGCTTAATTAGAATTCATGATGACAGCATAATGGTCTACCATAAATTATTTTAATTGAACACTAGATTAAAAGAGGAAATATGCTGGATACTTACTGCTAACAATGAGCCTGAAATAAAAAAGTTATTTGGGAGGAGTATATATATTTTTACTACCTCGAAATATAATGCCTTCCTTGAGGAAGGAAGCAGATAGAGGGAAGAGGAGAAAGGCACGGAGAACTAAAAAGTATATAGTGATTTCATCTTACTGGTTAATTCCAAAGAGGTAATTTGTGGCAAGGACAGCTGGAGGACAATTTGGCAGAATTCTACTATGAAAACAGTAGAAGTGTATGAATCAAGAGTGAATTCAAGAAATTAAATAACCTTAATTGCAATATCTTCAGTCTCTGCTGGACGAATTCGTCTAATTGATTGTTCATAGCTGTCCAGGTTATATCTTCCAGGCTGTTTCCTGTTTATAGTTTTAGTTTGCTGTAAAAAATAAGGCAAGCTGTCATTATGAAACAATACAAACTTTTCTTTTATTAAAAAGAAATTCATGTTTGATACCTCTGCCATCAGAGAAAAATTATAAAAAGGAGATATTTCAACTATTTCTGCTTAGGATATATATTTTGGTAAGTGGCATTTTATTTAATTTTTTTGTTACATCTGCCATTGAAGAGGTAAAAGAAAAAACTACTAAGCAGCATATCATAACAAAAATCAAATGTAAGTTAAAAATATTTATTTTTTCACACCTATATTTATCCAGCCTGACTTAGATTCACAAGTTATTTGTGTGTGTGTGTGTGTGTGTGTGTGTGTGCATGCGTGTGATTTAACCCTTGTAGAACAGTTGCTGATCTGCACTGACAGAGAGAAATTCCTTACCAATGGCTCCCTATACCACTGAAATCATTGTTCCAGACCAAAACCACAATTACCAAAAGAACCACAGTGTTAGCCATTATTATGGCTACAATGAGACACTGTTGTAGTGCATTTACATATATGTGCATGCATGTGTTTTCATGTGGTTTTTAAATGTTTTTAAAATCTACTTGCTAAACTATTTCATTTTTTCCTAAGAGGATGAATTCATTACTTAAATTTAAAATTAACCAATTATAGTACTTTTTAAGAGATAAAAGTAAAATTATAATGTCATAAATCTATAATTCAAATTTTATTCTCATTAATAAAATTTAAAAGCAATGGGAAATTAAGAAAGTGGTGATGTAGTTTTCTACATACAATAAGGGTGAGTACGCTGAGTGAAGAAACAAGGATTTGGAATATTCTCATGCTAGCACCACAGCTGAGTGCGCCCAGGTTAATGCAGGCTAAGCAAAACTAAATGTTAAAAAGTATTTGGTGAATACACAAAGTGCAACTAGTTAATCAGATTAAGTCAAAAATGAATTTTAGATTCTGAATGTAAAACTATCTTGAGCTGCTAAGCACATACCCCAAGGGGGTAACTGACAAAAAGAAAGCCTTCAAAATGTTTAAAGCAGCATTTTTTGAGGCAAAAAAAAAAAGATCAGAGAATGGCTAAAAACACTGTAGTACATGAAAGTGATAGAGTATTACTCTGTTGTAAGAAATGACAGACATAATGAGAAGCACAGAAAGACTTACATGAACTAATGTAAAGTGAAGGAAAAGAGCCTAGAAACTAATATACGCAATGAGTACAACTTAAGCATAAAGAATAACTACCATTAAAAAACAGAAACTGAGAGTTGTGAAATTATAAAGAACAATTTCCAGAGAAGAGATATGAGCACTTTACATCCCCTACTCCTTTGCAGAAGTCAATGTCCATGAGTATGGAAAGTTGTATATAATATACAACCGGTTTTGGTTTTGTTGACTTTTTTAATCCCCCTTTTTCTTTCTAAAATCATTTGTTAAAAGCCAGGATTCTTGGGGATGGGCACAGAAGGAAATCTAGAATATTTTTAAAATGAAATATATAAATAAAAACTTTTTTGAAAAAGGAAAGAAATGACACTAGGCCTTGGATCATTATGTCTTTGACTACTCACTAAAGAGTGGGATAAGGAAGAAAACTGTCCCCACTAAATATATATCTGATTAACCCATATATCTCCACGTTATAGCAGAAAGTGAGACAGGGACAAAAAAGAACATGGTTACTGAGATTTCCCCAATTCAGGTCTCACAGTTCTACTGAGCTCACATTTCTTGTCTTAGTACTCAGTATACTGAACAACTTGTTCTGAGTCTGAGTCATAATTAAGCCTTCTCTGAAGATAGCTAGACATTATTCCATAACCCTGGTGAACCTGAGAGACAAAGTTTTTTCTCCATATCTTTATAACATTCCCATTATAAAGAGACTCTAACATGATAACTATTACCATAATGAATACTAAGATTATTTTTAGAAGTAGCACTGTGAATAGGAAGTTTGACATCGTGGACAGAGAGCTAGCCTTGGGGTCAGAAAGACCGGAGTTCAAATTCTGCCTCTGATACAGAATGGTTAAGTGGCCATGAACAAATCACTTAATTTCTCAGTTTCCTAAATAGCTCTCCATGACTAACTTCAATAACTACTGATCTGCACTGATATATGGAGTTCTTCACTGGGATTTGTGTACATCAGTGAAATCACAGGCCTGGGTGGCAAATAAATAAGAGTAAGGCTAATAATAATAACTAGGATTTTGTTGACCTGATTTTTCAAGTCAAGAAATTTATGCAAAATTCATTTATTAAGACATGCCTTCAAGCATAAATACAAATTCTATTTTCCCCCTTCCTAAATCTACATTTTTCAAAAAAGACAGAAGACAAATTGGGGAAAAAAACCTAATTTTTTATAGTTTATATATATCCCAAATTATCTGATTCTACTGTTCTCTGAACTAATTTGCAGTTATCCCTTCCACATTGCATGATTTCAATATATCATGAGTTGGCATAAAAATTAAATGGAAATTTTTTTGGAGTCTTGCAGAAGCTCCAGATGACACAGGAAGGCCAGAAAATGATATAGAGCCTATGACCAAATACTTAACCCAAATATTACAATAAGGTACTGTAAATCCCCATGAAAGAAAGAAAGAAAGAAAGAAAAAAGAAAGAAAGAAAGAAAGAAAGAAAGAAAGAAAGAAAAATTCAGACTTCTTTGGTATGAAGGGAGGGCCAAAAAATTTTACACGTACTTTCCAGATCACAGGGGCACAGTGCCCCTAACCCCTGCAATGTGGAACAGATAACCATAGTAACTGTAGCCAGCCTAATGCTACTCATAAGATTACTCATATCAAAAGGGAATAATAAAACACTTTTCAATATTATTGAGAAAATCAAATATACAATGATCCTGACCAAAAAAAAAAGGTTTCTATGACAAACAAAAACTTCCTTTCACAACTATTTAAGTGCAATCAGCAAATCAGATCTATACTAAATACAATTATAGCTGTCTTTAGCAGAAAGAGAAGCAACATAGCACAGGATATAGAATTGGCCCCTGAGCCAGGAATATTTGGGTTCAAGTTTCTCTTTGGATACATACTAGCTCCCTCACCCTTGGGCAAGTTACTTAACCTTTGAATGCTCTGTTTTTCAGTTGTTTTGGTTATGTCCAACTCTTTGTGACACCATTTTGGATATTCTCTTTCTTTCTTTCTTTCTTTTTTTAGGCAATTGGGATTAAGTGACTTGCCCAGGGTCACATTTTGGATATTCTCAGCAAACATATTGGAGTGGTTTGCCAGTTCCTTCTCTAGCTCATTTTACAGATGAGGAAACTGAGGTAAACAGTATTAAGTGACTTGCCCAGGGTCACACAGCTATTAAGTGTCTGAAGTCTGATTTGAACTCAGGAAGTCAGTGTTCCTGACTTCGGTCACAGTACCCTATCCACTATGCCACGCCGCTGCCTCCTTGAAAGCTCTAGACAACTCCTTAAGTCAAATAGTTGTAGAGAAGGTCCTGACTAGCACTGGCAGAGGGAGTTTCCTTACCAGGGACTTCTATCTACCAGTTAACTTACAAGTCTAGTTTCTATCCCTCAGTAGGAAGCCCAAATATATTTAAATTTGTCTGAGATTAAAAACTGAGGATTCCAAAAGCTATGATTCTCCAGATATGTGTTTTCTTTGTAACAATACCATGTGTTCCTTTTTTACCTTTAAAAGTCAAAGTTTTTAAAATAATCCCCAACACAAGAATGTCATTCCAATGAAGATGACTGCTGAAAATTTCATTTCTGAGACCAAATAAACTTAAGGTAGACTAAAGTATTTGAAGCTAGGTTATGACTGGAAATGATTTACTGCCTTTCTCCAGCACCCCCAGGGCTTCGTTTTGGCTCCATTTTGATAAAAAAAAATAGGCAAAGGTCCTTATATCTTCAAGAAAACTTCTCTTTATAAATTTGTGACAGAAAAGCTTAGAGATCTTGAGATCTGGTCAGGAATTTGCTGGGTGTAGTTTTCAGTATAAGGTAGTTATCCAACTCAGTAATTTAAAAAAGTCATTCAATGGAATTATAGAAGGCAAATAATACAGTGTTTAAAACAATTAATTGAGAAAGCAAATATCATACCCATTACAATGAGTAGGCCATAACACAAAAAGAACTAAGGGATTCAAGACTTAGCCTGAGTGGATCAGAAAGGCCCACAGAAAAGTATTTAGTTTAAGGGCAAACAAGACAGCATTTTATGAACTGTGCTGCATATGAAGAGATCATAAAAGCACCTGGTAACATCTATATGTGATAACTATATAGAGAAAGAAGCCATTCAGTAAACTTGCCTACACCTAAATAGAAAATCATTTTTCTGAGCCTAGAGGTTGTGCCTATGACACACGCAAGTAAACCTAATGATGCTCTGAATGAGATAAATTAGACAAATGTCCTGTACTTTAAAAATGTCTGCTTTCCAATAATAATGACAACAACATATGCATGAAAATCACTATCTTCTAGATATATTCAGTTCTGTAGTAGTATTGTCCCCCAAAGACGGTCAGCAAGAATGACTTCATTCTCTTCTCTAAACTATGAAGAGGGTGGGAGGAAGGAAAGTGTTGACAGAGATGTGAGTTGGAGTTCCAGAGATGTAATTTGAAGAAACTTTGGCACCAAAATGTCACTAATGTTCCATGAAATTTCTACAGCCAAAACCACTTAACTCTAAGCTTTGACAGAATACATAGTATCTTTAGTGAACTCAGGGAAGAGTTTCCATTAGCGTTATTTTAAAACACACAGCTTTTTTCTCTCCACTTTTTTAAGGTCTGTAGTTTTGTGGTTTGGATCTAGAACAATGACAAATGACTCTGAAAGAAATTAGTTCAGTGTTTCAATACTTTGATGAATCTGTGATCTTGTCAATGTTGACCCTCCCTCCAACACTGCAGATCTCACTCCATCCCTGCCAGCTGAACCTGTTCAATTCTAGTCTGTCTTGCAAGAAATTCTTGACAGCAACTCTACCCAATATGCTGAAGACTTTCCTCTCAATGTCTTGACAGCGTGTAGATAGTAATGAAGTATGCAGGCTGGCCATTGGTTATCCCACAATTCCACTGTGTAACCCATAATTTTTCCCCAGTCATATATCTCTGATGACACAGTTTATGCTATTCATCAACCGTAATGTCTTGCAGCCTGTTCACTCCCACTATGTACCTCTCCATTACCCTTTGGGTGACCCTGAATTTAATTCTTTAGAGATTGTGCTATTCCATGAGTCACCACTATATAGCATCACTGGAAGAATCTTGTTAGAAAGATGGCCCTTTGTTTCAAGGAGAATTTTGAGATCATTAAAAGCACTCCAGACCATGCTCCTTCTCCTGTTCAAATGTGGGCCTACCATATTGTACATTCACATCGTCTGCAGAATTAGGGATGAGCTCTATGGGTGATTCATCTACCTGTACATTTTAATCTAAACAACAACAAAAAAAGAATCCTTCATCCACTTAGTTTTCACTATGTAGATAATTAGATCAAATTCCTTTAAATGATTCAACATTTCATTTAGGAGTGACGGCAATGCCCCAGGACTTAATATCATTAATACATTGTTATATACAAAAACGGAAATCTCTAAGACCAACAAGATCTATTAAAATACATCAAGGTTGTATACATCTTTGGTAAACACACCTCTCCCTGTTTTGGAGCCTCAATTGACATTAATAATCAAGAAATATAGTATGTTTACAATAATTCTGAAGAATCTATATGCTTTTCAGATGTGTTTCTTTTTTACTACCAGCCTCTACTCAATTCCATTTATGCTACTCTCTCTACAATTTAGCAGGTTTCTTCTGAGAACTTCAGCTCCATGCATATCTTTTTAATCTTGCACAATTTAAATGATTTCTTTGTAATATTTCACAATGTCCTTTCAAAAGTTATTTGTATTTGTTAAGAGCTGATTCTGACTAATAAGTTTATTTTGCTCTTAGGTTTGGATGAAGCTTGAATGAATTGGGAACTTTTCAATTTCTTTTTTAATTGAATATGTGTCTATCATCCAATGAAAGAATGTACATGAATCCACAATGAAAACTCTGAAGCTCCTTTAGAGCAGGAAACTTCTTGCTTTTTATATTTATATTCCCAGGGCTTCGTTCAGGGCTTGCTGGGTAATAAGTACTTAATAAGTACTCTTTCATTCATTTATTCAAATAATTTAAAGAGGAAGAAAGCATTTATATCTCAGGTCATCAGGAAAGGCTTTGCATAGGAAATGGCATCAAAACTGATAAGGGACTTCACAAGACACCTCTGATATGGGAGACCACCCATACAAAGGCAGAGTCTGCATTCCTCCATGGCTCTTTGGATCACCTGAAAATTTAATTCCTCAAAATATGTAGTGTTTTAAGCCTCAAAAACATACAGTGTCACCAGGATAACTTTGTGTATGCTTATAAAAACATAGGTTTTTCAATCCAGAGACCAGCTTGGAATCAAAAGAAGCATTGCACAATTTTCCAAATGTAATCCACTCTGCTCTCTTCTTCCTCTTCAATTCTGATCCTAACTCATTGTCCTCTTGTAGTGCCTATCATAGATATACCATACCAATAGGAATTTTTCATTCATTTAGTTTTTCCCTCTAAGGATTCTAAGGTGAACTTTTGATTAATCACATATCTCATTAAAGAGACCAAGTAATGTCCTAGGTATTGAGGCATTCAGTATAATATCATCCACAAAAAAAGGAGCACCTCTTCCATCAGGACTTTATGTAAGGCCTCCAGAATATTAGGTAGGTCCTTCTTGGAGAATTTATGGAAGGACGTGAACAAGAATGGCAAAGAATGAAAAGATCTGGATGGTTTGTTATCTACCCAAGTAAAAGAAGTACACCATCAATTAGATAACTATTACATGTAAAATTTTAAGGGCTTCTTTATAATATTTTGTAATCCTGAGCTCTGTATTTGATAAGAGCTAATGTTATCTTGCAAGGTTGTTTTGTTCTTAGGTGTGGCTAAAGTTTCAATGAATCTGAAACTTTTCAATTTCACTTTAAGGGGCAGCTAGGTGGTGCAGCAGATAGAGCACCAGCCCTGAAGTTGGGAGGACCTGAGTTCAAATTCGGCCTCAGATCAAACACTTTATACTAGCTGTGTGACCCTGCGCAAGTCACTTAACCCCAATTGCCTAAAAAAAAATCAATTTCATTTTGAATTGGACATAGTTTACCTTAGGGGTAACCCTTAGAAATGGACAAACACTACATAGTAAGATAATGCTCACGAATGTAATTTGAAAATTATAAGGGACTAGGCAAATAAAAAATATAATGATTAAAGTAATTTTACATAGTGGAAATAGTAATAAGCTAGAAGTTGAAAAACAACTCAGTTCAAGTTTGTTACCCCTTTTGCTTTCTAGCGATTTGACTGACCTCTGTCGAGTTATAAGTTCTCAACTTCAGTTTGCTCATCGATTAAATGAGAATAATATCACCTATATCATGTGGTGTTGATGAGAATCAGATAAGATAATGTACCTCATAAACAGAAAGGTAAATATCAATGTAAAAGAACTATTACTATACAGAGGGATATAGTTGTTATTGTTTTGGTTTGGTTTGATTTTTGCTTTTATTTAGTTTTATGTAATCAATTAGTTTTTAAATCCACTGACAACTATTCTTTTTTTTAATATACATTTATTTATTTTTAGTTTTCAATATTCACTTCCACAAGTTTTTGAGTTCCAAATTACTCACCCCTCCCCCCCACCCCAAGATGGCATGCATTCTGAATACCCCTTCCCCTGGTCTGCCTTCTCTTCTATCTCTCCCCCCCTCCCTTCTCTTATCCCCTTCCCCTTCTATTTTCCTGTAGAGCAGGATAGACTTCTGTACCCCATTTCCTGTATTTCTTATTTCCCAGTTGCATGTGAAAACATTTTTTTAAAACATGTATTTTTAAAACTTTGAGTTCCAAATTTTCTCCCTTCCTCCCTCCCCACCCACCCTCATTGAAAAGGCAAGCAACTCAATATAGGTTGTACATGCGCTGACAACTATTCTTACTTCTGGTTAAAAATATTACCCCAAAACTAAGAACACAGAGATTTCATACCACATTAATGATTTTTTTTAACATTCTCCCCATTAACACAACATAACACAACACAACAATAACCCATTTGGTGAACAGAACTTACTACTCCAGTGTGTTTCTTACAAGACTCAAAAGTTACAGAACCTTCACCACTTCTCCAGCTGTCATCACCAATCTCATCACTTAAGAGAAACTCATTCAGCTTCTGAACACTGCCAAAAGAAAAAAAGTAAAGTGAAAAAACATGCATTAATATACTCATGCCTCAAATTATACAGTGGTCTTGCCTCTGCGCCTTAGTTGCTATGTAACCATAGACAAGTCATTTCTCTTTTCTGATCCACACTCAGTTTCCTCATTTGGAATATGAAGCAGTTGGACAAGAAAACTCCTAAACAGCCTTCCAGATCAGAATCTATGATCATATGGCTAAAACTAAATCCTTAAAGTATCAAGCCCCTTCTACTCTCATTTGTTTATCTCTCCACATTCATTTTTCTCTGAGAATTACTTTAAATTTCACTGATTCTGCCACTCACTATAACCTATAATTATATTCTGGATTTGAGGAGGTAGAGTTAGGGACAGATTTAACACAGGGTAAAGTACAACCAATTTTCTGAGCCTAGTAAATGGGAGTTCTTCCAAAGTTGCTTCCAACTCGACCCTGGCTGGCCTCGCCTAGCTTTGGCCACACTACTTGCAACTGACATAGAAGTGCACAGAATGAATATATAGACAAACTCTGAAATGTCTCCTAACTACTCATCACTATGAACAGACAGAGTTTAGGAGAGGAGACAACTTCTCAAGGCCTGCCACTAGTAATATGACTAATGGCTGAGCCTATAAAGGAAGAGGATTAGTGAAAAGAGCTAATCTTCTGGATCAAACCCAGTGAGCCCCTCTGACTAAGCCCATCTCCTCTAGGAAGGTCTCTCTTCCTTTTTGCTGTCCTTCATTAGTCACTTCCTCAAGATTAGAAGTGCCAGAAAACTGGCCCAACTCATTAATTTATCATCATCATCATTCTGTAACATGTAAATATTCTACATATTAATTATACATATCAAGATGTATAATCATTTTTCTCATCTCTGCTCTTAAGAGCTGTAATGCCAGGAGTTGCATCTTGGCTAAATATTCTGTATTCCATAGTTCTAATCACAGTGCTTTGCACACAGTATACAATAATAAATGTTGGCTGAATTAGACTAAATAGAATGCAGATGATTCTCAGATCTATTTACTCAGGCCTCGCCTCTCATCACCAACTTTCTACTGGGCATTTCTAATTCAATATCCCAGAGACATCTCAAACTCAGTGTTTCCAAATCAGAATTAATTCTATTTTCCCCCAAATCCACTACTTTTCTAGCCTTTCCTGTTTCCTCAAAGGTATCACCACCATCTTTCCATTCACCCAGGGTCCTAACCCTAGCATCAATCTCAACTCCTCACTTTTACTTACCCCACATAGACAATCAATTACCAAATATTTCACATTTCCCTCATATGTTCCCCTCCTCTGCATATATATAGTAACTACCCTATTTCAGCTTCTCTTCACCTTCACCTGGACTATCTCAATAACCTCCTAACTGGACTCTCTGCCTCTAGTCTTTTCCTACTCCAAACCATCCCTCCACACAGTAACCAAAGTGATTCTCCTAAAGCACAACTCTGACCATCCCATACACACACACAAACACACACACACAAGTACACACACACACACACACACACACACACACACACACATTAAACTGCAGTGGTTCCCTAAGGATCAAGTGTAAACTTCTCTGGAATTTAAAGCTCTTAACATCCTTGCCCATCCTACCTTTCCTGGCTTACTATTTCATCCTTCACACCCTGCACAGTCTAGCCAACCCAACTATCCTGCTGTTCCTCACGCGGGATACTTCTCCTTCCTCTATGCCTTTTGCCTCTCATGCCTGTGATATGCTTCCTTTGACCCTCTACTTCTTGGAATCATTAGCTTCCTTCAAAATCAACCTGTCACCTTCTGCATGAGATCTTTCCAATGGTTAGTGCATCACTCTGCCCAGGTGCCCTTGAATCTGCTCTGGATGCATTTTACATACACCCGTTTCAGTGCATCTTGTCTGTTCCGTTAGTATAGGAGCTCCTTGAGAGCAAGGCCTGTTTCATTTTTATCTCTGTATCCCCAGCCCTTGCACAATGCTTGTTCCATAGCAGTTCTTGCTGATTGACTAATTAATTGTTACATAAAAAATGGAGCTGAATTAAAGAGTAAGCACCCCCCAAAAAATGCAAGAAAACCGTATGGTATTATCCTAATATCTCTGAAGATCCTATTATATAAAATCTCACTTCTTCAAATTAAAATCTAATCTATGATTATCTCCCTGAGGGCAAATTGGTTTAACTAGTTATCAAATCAAGAAAATAGAATCTGGTGGGGAAAGAGAAAGAAGAAAACAACAACAATATAATTTTATAATTATTTTCTTGCAAGAGTTTGGTAAGGCAAAAGGGTGGATCTACATTATTAAGATGGATATATGAAAATGGACACAAATATGCTTTGCATGCAAAGACAACAAAACTGGAGCTTTTATTAAATAGGTAAGTGTATTTAGATGCTTTTAAATATCTGTGTATTTATGGACCAGGCTAAATCATCTCAGACAAGCCTCTGTGGTTTGTTTTCCCAACAAAGTTATTAAATGAGTAAAGGTCAGTTCAATTCAAGATGTTTACTATGATTCATAAAATGTGATCTTCTTTACATTATAAATTGTGTCTCTCCATAGCAACACTGAAATCCATAAAATCTATTGTAGCAGGAAAATAATTCATATTTTTATCTCTAGGAAAGTGGAAGCCAGGTGTTATTTATGAAGGGCATTTGGTCAGCAAAGGTCTACTTTGCAAATTTTCAAGGCACAATACTCTGTAAATATATGTTTTCTCCCCCAGTAGAATATATGAGCTTTTTTGAGAGCAGTGAATGTTTCACTTTTGTCTCTGCAACCCTAATGGCTAAGAGAGTACCTACAGTAAGTGCTTAATAAATGTTTGTTGATTGAAGAATCATTATCAAAATGACATTTTGTTATTTTATTCTTAACAAATGCTTCTCATTGCTTCTCCACTTTTATAAGCTTTATACATAATTGTGTTCTTGTAATGTGCTGATTGGAGCTGATCATAAAAAGCAGTTTAGACATGCAGTCCTTTAAAATAAAAATGAAAGGCTTCCTGCCCTCACATCTTTCAGTCTCAGACTATGTCATTACATATAGACATACAGCTGAGGCCATATTCTGATATTTTAAGCAAAGCTGGTTCATTTCAATTCTCACCTCCACTGTGCAAATGTCTAGAAAATCTCACCGAAATCCATGAACGGTTACTAAAACACAAAGATGGGTTTTTGCCTGTTCATCCCTGAACATAAAAGAGAGTTTAGTTTCCTCTACACTTTTTAATGTTCTCTTCTGTAACTCATTTACACTTGGCTTGGATATGGAGATGGCTGACATTTGAGAACTGTCAAGAGAAGCAAAGAGAAGCACCCTTAGGGATTTACTCCTGCAGAATTCCTAGGGTCATGTGTGACCACCTACTTAGAAGCAGACAAACCTGCCTTTTTCCATCTTAAGACTTTTCCTTTTACCTCCCTCCATTTTCTGGTTCTCATTTAGGCTTCAATTCCTCCTGATAACACATACCTGGCCACTCTTTTCAGTACTGGTTGCACCTTTACTCATATTCATACTCTCCAACTTACTAGTCATGGTCGGGGGAATCCTGCCTCAGACTTTTTTTCACTAGCTGTGTGACACTGGGAAAGTCACTTCATACTTCTCAACTTCATTTTCCTCATCTATAAAATAAGGAAAATAATAGCACCTACTTAGCAGGGTTGTCATAAAGACTGAATGAGACAACACATATAAAGCACTTTGCAAAGCACTATATGAAATGCTAGTCACAATTATTTTACTTTGCCACTTCTAGGCACTCCCTCCACTACTATCACTCAGTAACCTCTCATTCTTTGAGTTATTCAATTCATATTTATTGGATTCTAGAAATTGTTAACTACTGACCCTCAGACTGCTCTCTTTCTTCCTCAATGAGTTCAGGGCCCAGCTCACAGTCTTTCTTTTCACTCCAACTCCTGCTGTCATATTAGGGGACTTCATCATGCATATTTATACTTTTTCAAAAACCCTAACTTTGTAGTTCTTCAGTCTACTTAATTCTCAACAATTTTTACCGAATAATTAATTCTTATCCCCAAAACTTAAGTCTTTAAACTTTTCAAATACAAGAATACTATATTTATTTGCTGCTGTAAATTGTATGTCTATTCTGTTTCTCTGATCTACCTTTACATTTCTCAGCCAGTACCAGATAGTTTTGATAATTACTTCCTTATAACATAGTTCAAGATCTGGTACTACTAAACCTTCTTTGATGTTTTTTTTTTCATAAAGTTCTTGATTTCTTGCTCTTCCAAATGAATTTTGTTATCATTTATTTCTAAGCCAATAAAATAATTTTTGGTAACTTAATTGGGATGGCATTGAATAAGTTTAGGTAAAGTTGTCATTTTTATTATATTGGCCTTACCTACTCATGAACAATTAATATTTCTCCAATTATTTAAATCTGATTTTTTTTCTATAAAAAGTTTTTTTATAATTTTGTTTATAAAATGCATGGGTTTGTTTTTGCAGATGTACTCCCAGGTATTTCATACCATTTAGAATTATTTTAAATGGGGTATCTCTTACTTATCTTTTCCAGTTGGGAAAAATGGAAAGTAGTGTGGCAAAAATTGGGCATAGACTGATATCTTACACCATTCACTGAGATAAGGTCAAAATGGATATATGACCTAGATATAAAGAGAGAGACTATAAGAAGATCTAAAGAACATGGAACACATTACTTAGCAGACTTATGAATAGGGAAACAATTTGTGAGTAAATAAGAGATAGAAAGCAGAATGAAATGTAAAATGGGTAATTTCTATTACATTAAATTTAAAGGTTTTATACAAATAAAACAAATATAGCCAAGATCAGAAGGAAAGCAGAAAATTGGAGGGGAGAATTTTATATACAGTTTCTCAGACAGAGGTCTCATATCTTAAATATATAAAGAATTTCATAAAATCTATAAGAATACAAGTCATTCCCCAACTGATAAATGA